TTGGCCATCATGCAAGACTTACTGTAACCACCAATGAGTAACATAACCTGGCCATCATGACAGACACACTGTAACCACCAATGAGTAACATAACCTGGCCATCATGACAGACAATTATAACCACCAATGAGTAACATAACTTGTCGTCATGACAGGCTTACTGTAACTACCAATGAGTAACATAACTTGTCATCATGACAGGCTTACTGTAACTACCAATGAGTAACATAACTTGGCCATCATGCAAGACTTACTGTAACCACCAATGAGTAACATAAATTGGCCATCACGGCAGACTTACTGTAACCACCAATGAATAACATAAATTGGCCATCATGCCAGACTAACTGTAACCACCAATGAGTAACATAACTTGGCCATCATGCCAGACTTACTGTAACCACCAATGAGTAACATAAATTGGCCATCATGCCAGACTTACTGTAACCACCAATGAGTAACACAAATTGGCCATCACGACAGATTTATTGTAACCACCATTTGATCGCAGTAATTGCCATCATGGTAAGCTTGCTGGTAACAACATCGAGTAAAAATTGTCCATAACCATAAATTTGGAGGGACTTTAACCAAATAGGAACTATGACAACACAAGGGAGCTAACAAGCTAATATTTAATACCTTTCACTTTAGAACTGGTAAATAGTAACTTCCCTTCTGTTTCAATCTTATGAGGAAGTATATACTTTAAAGCAAGTATATACAGAAATCGCTGTATGTTTAAATGCATTATTTGCTGTAACAATTTTACATTCATAATTCGAGGACACTTAATGTTAAGAAAACACAAATGAAATATCTAAATATAAACAACCTGAGTACAAAGGCAAATGAAATGCGTAAGTATTATGTTCTATAATCTATCCCGAATCATAAAAGAAGTATTTTAAAATATAAAACATTTATTCACACGTAAAACATTGTATGCACATTTGCATGGGCGTGTTTCATTACCTTATGTAAACATTGTATTGTTATCAAAAGGTCTTTAAGTTGTATCAGTCTGTTCGCAAGTTTGGTAAATATTATATTTCTTTAAACTACCACTAAATGAATATACGGGCGCACCTTAGAAAACCTGGCTTCTCTAAAATGTGGTGTGGTGACAGGACCGTTTATGATATAATGTATTTTGAATATCTGTTACAAAATCAAAACATTTCACACTTACATATGGTAAATTTATAGAGAAATGTCCTGATATCTTTCTATACAAACGATTTGTTGCAGGGAAAAAAGGCCTAAAATTTAAGCGTAACATTGAAACCGAATATCAATGATTAATGAATCAAAATAATTCAGTTTTGTATCAATGTTAATAACTATTTCAATCTTTTTTTATTTTGGGGGGGGGGGGGGGGTAAATCAAGAAATTTCTCAAGAACATTCCATCATCTTATGCCGTTTCAAACTATCAACACTTTTATATATAACCTCAAACCATTTACATTTATATATGCCCTAGACGCATAAGAAGAAAATTAATATTAAATATAATTATATTTATGTCTCCCAAATTTTTTTTTGAGAAATATTGTTTCTGCCTACGCCGTCTTACTGTCTGTCCGTCCGTCCGATCTATCCGTCCGTCCGGTCGTCCGCATTAAGCTTTCCAGTCTTCACAGGTCAAGCTACTGGTGGGATTTCAACCAAACTTTACAGGAGTGATCAGTACCATTCCTAGCTGTGCACATCACCGACATGTTCTGCTCTGCTGCACAAAATGGCCACCAGAGTTAAAAAATGTCCGTCTGTCACATGTCAAACTGCGGGCGGGATTTCCACCAAATTTCACAGGAGTGATTAGAACCATAATCCTTTGTTTAGATAATAATTATTATCTGTTGAGACGCGATCAAAATTATGCAGAGCGGTCTTCGATAACTCCTGCAGAGAGCGGCCTTCCGTAGAGCAATAACTCCTGCAGAGAGCGGCCTTCCTTAGAACAATAACTTCTGTAGAGCGGCCTTCCGTAGAGCAATTACTCCTGCAGAGTGGCCTTCCGTAGAGCAATAAGTCCTGCAGAGAGCGGCCTTCCATAAAGTTATAACTCCTGCAGAGAGCGGCCTTCCTTAGAGCAATAAATCCTGCAGAGCGGCCTTCCATAGAGCAATAACTCTTGCAGAGCGGCCCTCCGTATAGCAATAATTCCTGCAGAGCGGCCTTTCGTAGAGCAATAACTCTTGCCGTGCGGCTCTCCGTAGAGCAATAACTCTTGCAGAGTGGCCCTCCGTAGAGCAATAACTCTTGCAGAGCGGCCCTCCGTATAGCAATTACTCCTGCAGAGCGGCCTGTCGTAGAGCAATAACTCTTGCAGAGCGGCCTTCCGTAGAGCAATTACTCCTGCAGAGTGGCCTTCCGTAGAGCAATTACTCCTGCAGAGTGGCCTTTCGTAGAACAATAAATTCTGTAGAGTGGCCCTCCATAGAGCAATTACTCCTGCGGCCCTCCGTAGAGGAAATACTCCTGCAGAGCGGCCTTCTGTAGCTATAGCAATAACCTATAACAAAAGAACCATTTCTTCCCAAAGCCGGACTAAAAATGATTTACCGATAACCTCTCCAGAACAACACCTCTCGGCAACAATCAACGTTTTCTCTCCCAAAAACGGTTGTTCTGCAGAGCCTGTATCGTTTATTTTATATTGATAATAACAAACATACAAGAAAGGTTTGATTTAGGAAGGGCTAAAGATTTACATATAAACGTATCTTTATAACACCAGAATAAAGGTTTGTTCTTAAAGTATTAAATACATGTAGTGTTGGAAATTATATAAAAAATAATTGATTTTATGTATGAACGTCATATGATTATATACAGTACAGGATGTTTCGTTTCTCGTGTGAAAATCAAAGTAAAGTTATGTTCACTTTCATCCTTTTCTAAATATAGTAGAGCAAAAGTAGCGACCAAATGCACTATGCTTCCCCTGACCTCGTGTCATTGTAATCTAGTACACCAACATAAACAACATACCATTTACTGATACCAGTTATCTAATCATTGTAAACAACACTAAAAAATCAGGTTTATATCGTAATCTAATTACTTTTAGTATTCTCAATGTTATTTTGGTTTAGTTCCGGCTGTCTGTATATATTTTTGTCGCAATATTGGTCGATTATTTTACTATAATATAGTCAAACCTTGAGTTTGTGCACTTCTAACCGACCATCGTTCCAGGCATGAAAAATAGTTACGTTTTAACAGATATACATATATTTGAACATACCAAACGAAATATCACAGTTTCTTTTGTTAACAAATTCAAATTGTTAAATTATATTATGGCAACATATCATCATTGTGAAGATATAACCGTGTAGGACAACATTTCATATGATCCTTTTGAACCGAAATATCGTACCCGTTCCGTGTTCGAGGTCCTTATCCGACCTTCCGCGGAGAGAACTGAGAAGTTGTGATTTGGCCATGCCATACTGTTCGGGAAAGCGGAATAAATAATCTGATTTATTTGCTTGAAGATACTCGAAAAACATCGTAACTTTACGTACAAATAATTGATTAATTATCTATTAAGTCGCTATTTTGCTCTTAGTACTGTCGACGTATATCTAACCCCAAAAATTACCAGACGTGAAATGACTAATAAGCACATTTAACGATAATATGCACAAATAAGAACTTTTTTGTCACATTTTTTGTAGCGATTTATTATCCGGAACACCTCGCCAATCATCAGTAATTAACTATTGAAGGTAGTTTTACAACGTGACTTTTGATGCAGAGGTAAATATTGAAATCAAATAGAAAATAAAGTGGGTTTTTTTTTTTTTTTGGGGGGGGGGGGGTAATAAATTGATAAAATTATATGTCCTGCAATCAAAATCAACTCGAAAACCACTGATATACGATTATAAACTACAAACAGGTTTATGTCGGTAATGTATATTCTATTTCTATATCTATGAATTCTCATCATATTAGTCGATTGAAACAACGTATAACTTAAAAAATACCGAATATACAACAATGCTAATCAATTAGTTATTATCTGTTTACATCTTTAAATAATGTTTTGTTGCCTACGTGAAATCGGAATATCATTTCATTCTGTGTATTCTTACTCTTGTGTCCGAGCTCCGAATTATAAAAAGGGACGAGAAGTTTTACCAGAATCTTTCACTCATAGTGTAACACACACTCGTGGACGTACAACTTTTGATGTCGTGCGTTTGCTCACACGCGCATTTCGTAATTCGCCATGTCAATAATAGCAACAATTCATTACATGCAGTATTATTTACTCATTTTGATCATTTAAGAGGCATATATACGTTTTTATATGCGCTCATTGAATATATTTCAAAAATGTGGAATGTATAATATAAACTATAGTATTTTTCGGGTTTCAGTGGGAAAAAAACTGTAGACATTTTAAATGCACGACAATTAAAAGCTCTCTGTGAAAAGAAAACATTTATTTAAGAGCGAAAATCGTTCACTGTCAGAAATGCATGCCTCAGAGTATACATTTACGATCAGTAGAATTTAACTTTTTATGCTAATGTATTAAATACTATTTTGATAATTGATCTGTATTAGTTGTTTAATCCTATGCCCTACTGAAATTGAAACTTGGCATGGATTGACACCACTATTATTACAGTTTAACCTCTGCAAATAAAATAATAATGGTTTAAATATATGTTATATAGTCATATTTATAGTGCATACACGTTTTGTAAGATGAGCAATACAAAAAAAAAATACGCGAGTACCTTGGAGAAATTTAAACATTAATAAACACAATCATGATAGAATTATCTCTCGTCTGCAATGCCTGTAAAATTGCCGTCATTGCCGTTCGAATCCGGACAAACATTTGATTTCGTGTTGACACGAAGATAAGAGTTCACCTGTATTACGAAACATGCGATGACAAAATAATATCTCAAGTTCATTGCACAAGTTGTTGATAGCAGTTAAATTGATAAAAAGCAAACGTATGTATTTGGGTCAGCCGTGAATGATGTAAAATGTATTTTGTAGCGGCTTTACCGAATCGTATGTTTGCTTTAAAACGATTTAAGATTTAACTGCCGATTAAAAATTCCACCACCCTTCTCAATAGGAGGGAATGTGCCTCTAATAATATTATTTTCAATGTAATATAAACTCTTTACTAATTGGGATTAAAGTGTTGACGCTAGACTAAATCGGCGCGTGACTTTAATATATTAATAGACCGATACAATTCGATTCTTTGATCCGTTCAATATAGTTATTTCTCGATATAATAGCATTACTGTGAACAACTCTTCAAGACAAATTAGTTGCAGAATTATTTACTTCTTATTTTTAATCTCACAACCGATATATAGGTAAAATAATGTAAAAAGATGCGAGGGACCCGTGTGTATTTACTTTGATAGTTTATGATTCGAATGGAAAATGCCGATAGAATTCGCTGATACGGTAGAAAATAGCTTAAAATCCAAAACCTGTTTTCTGCATAAGATAACCGACTAATATAAGAAATAGTTGTAAAAGTTCTCCAAATAGTGTCTAAAACGTCAAGTGAACAAGGGTTTACGTTGTGCTCAAGTGGAGTTGTGGACAATAAATTAATGTGTGCGAAGAAAGAAGTTACATTCGGGTGATAAGAGCACATTCTTCATAAATGAAAGAGTGTTAACTTGACGCGGATCATATTATGGAATATGATTTAGTGTCGACATATCCGTGTATCAGGATTAACTCCCGCCACAATAGGAATTTCGTTTTTGACATTTTTAAGATGCTGATTTTACAGAAATAAACACGAACGTACGTATGTTTGTTTTATTTTAAACTTGATTGATACAAAGCAGACAATGTTAAATGATATATAACAAGCTTGAATATACATATTAAATCAATTGCTTATTCAATTGATTAGATATAACTCGAGTACCTTAGGCTAAAAATATGTTTGCTTTTTATTTTACTTTTTCATTCGCCCGAAAATAATATATTTATTATTGATTTATACAGATATCTTAAGTAAATGTTGAAGGAGAACGATCACCTAAACTGGACATACTTATGTCATTGGATTACGTTTGGCTTTTGTTTAACTCCGACTTGTATGTCAGATCAGGTTGGCTTAACCGAAAGATTGATTAAATCATGAAATTTATATTTTGCATCAACTAGCTGTTTATAAAATTTTAGAAATATACTGTAACAAGTATATAAGAAGTAGGATAAATGTGTTACAAAGTCACAAGGTCACAACAAGTCTTTCTAGACATAGAATGGAAAGATAAGGAGTAAAGAGATATTGGTGAGGGGGTGGGGGATCTCTTACCACATAGAGGGTCAGAAAACACAGTTATATATCCCCCGCTTGTGACATATATATGAAACATTTTATAAACCAAACTTTATTAACAAATCCGGAGTAAAATAGGATTACATTGTTAATACTTTGATACGTGCAGCTCGAGTTATAATAACTTTATTACAATGTTTCTTCAAAGCCCTCAAATTACGACAGCATCCTAACGAGACCCATTCAACCATATTATTCAAATTCAATCCATTGTAAATGTCTTTTGAATGCTAATGTTGTTATTTATTTACTTATTTATTGCTTACTTATTTATTCATTCATTCATTTATATGAAAAGCATTATATATACAGTACTAGGATCAGAAAGAAGGTTGTGTGTGACCATGTGGGATACTTATCTGGAGGACGGCTGTGATCAGCCGACCCCTGACCATGAAAAAGAACACTGTATTTGATAAATCATAAATAAATTAATTACAAAGACACTTATATAATATAACTGCATACATGTATGTTTTTGTATACATGTATTTTGTAAACCATGTCATGATCGAGGGGTACTTGAATTGCCGATTAGTGTATTTACATAACACACCTGAAAGGCCATTAGAAAAATATAGAGTAAATAGTGACACAAGATCGATGCCAAAAATGTGAAAGGAATCTCTATATAGTAGGTTAATAGGATATAAGTCAAATAAAAAACATGCCGACATGTAAATAGTGAAAAAATGTTCCGACGCTTTTAACGCCCATACATAGTTTTTTGTAAAAAAAGAAATAAATAAACAAGAGAGCTAAGATGGCCCTTTTATCGCTCACCTGAAATAAGATTGCCATTACTTTCATTTGATGCTCTGGGTGTATAAGCATAACCGTACAGTGAAAGTTCATGTATTTTAGCTTAAATGACATTGACCCAAGCTAGAGTTCCATACACGGTACCAACATACCAAATATTTAAAAAAAAGTATAGATGATTTTTTCTCAAAATAGTAAAAATTTTTGCACGCTAAGGTGAGTTTAATCCCAATCGAATTGAAAGGGTTAATGCAAGTTGTCTGTGTATAGAAACTTGAGATATTGGTCATTATTAAAAGGCGGTACGTCTTATATCTGTCAGATGCAAAGAAAGAACGTTCGATGTTTCGTTAAATTTTCATAGCAATGTAATCAAATAAAAAGCAATTATTTTGTCTGTTTTTGCCTCTTATAGGGACCATAACTCTGTAACGCCAGACGGAAATCGATCCAAAGATTTCCGCTGAGCATGATAACAAACATTATGTCAATAGTGATCTTGTGTCTTTATACCACTGGAAACTCCAGCTTTCGGTCGTATTACCACTGGAATAATTATTTTGCCAAATTCCAGCATATTTTTTAACAGAGGGAGGGGGATAATTTCTGATCTTAATAAGATCCCGGACTTGCACATGACACTGATATGTCACGTCTCGGTACAAGTTTGACCCAGGTATATAGTCTGACTTAATATTGTTTTAGATAATATGTTTACAAAGAAATATTTTATGCAATTTTGCATGTCTGATACCGAATATAAATTTAAAAGTCAGTGAGTCAGTATTACGACTACCTATAAGTTTTGTTATCTTTCTAATTCCTTCTCAGCATGACTATTAAACATTTATTCTTTTATTTAGGATTTTGCAATATATGTATTTTGTGGTTTTTAAAGACTTTTATGATAAGCTCAACAGTTTTAAACAAGAAACTGTTTAAGAAATGAATGATGATATAAATTTTAACATAAGGTGCGGATAATGTTTTATAAAATACGATAACAAAAACTTCTGAATTTTAAAAGCTCATTTGCATGATGATTTGCCACCAGTTTACCACCACGCCACACCGCTAGCCATACGTCTGCATAAGGTTAAAGCTGTATGTTTGAAATCCCTTTGAGAAAACAATTCTAATGCAGAAAAAGTGTATTATGTTTATCTAGAGGGGTCAATTAAAACAATTACTTCCGGTCATGTTATCAGTGCATCATGTTACGATTAGACTTTCAACTTATATTTTTCTTACACAGCTGTGTGAAGGAAGACTGACAAATATTTTTTGTCGTCTGCTCACGTTTCTATTGTACTGCCAGCCTCTTCCCACCTCCTCACTCGCCAGCTACTTGACATCTCTTTCCCTCATCATAAATTGGGCAAAATTGTTTAAAATATATTAATTTTAGACAATTTACTACTGTGCATTCAGCGAAATGATTTTTCAAGTAGCTATTAAATATGCATTATGATTGTTGTCAGCTATTCACAAATGAGATTGTTTCGTTGGCAACATTATCATTTTAAAAACGAGATCATTATCATTTCAAGATGTATATATATTTTAATAAAAAGTTTGAAATGTAAGGTTTCAGTGTGGTTAGTTTATAAAATGATTATTCTCAATGATTCTGCATTGCGATGATGTTACGAGATCTTGTAATGATTTCGTAACCTACACCTGCCTCATTTCAACACCTTGTCACCAAGGATCGTACATAACAGTCGTTAATACTATTAATGATGGTCGTTTTAATTCTAATTCCTAGTATTGAGCAGTAGGACGGAATGTCCAAAATGTTGCGACTGCATACTATTTTCTCCCGCCAAAACTCTATTAAAGGCTCACGAAGTCTATGAAAATATTGCTAGCTTTCAAAAAGATTCTCATCGGTCATTTAGCTGAACCATCTTTGCTCTAAATTGGTATAGTGATTTTGTATGAAGAAATACTATTTTGTTTACATTTTTCTACATTTCCACTAGTATTGCACATTCAGTGCTACTCTCTTCAGGTAATTAATATCTAGCATGCTCTATTAAAAACATTATTAAACACATGTCTACCTTTTGATGAAAAGAAAAAAAATCATTTTTAAGGCTTAATGTGCATTTAACTGATTGTGTTGAGTCTACAGCAAAGTTTCATCCAATGGAATTATTGCATTTGACTACAATCTATCAACAGACTATCAACACTTTCGTCCGTATGTCTCCTAAGGTACTATCTAAAACTGTCTGTCTTCAAATCTAAACGTGCTTTTAAACATTTTTCGTTAAACACTCTACGATTAAAACCGTGATAGCACCCCTCATGGATATATTTAAGACTAAATAAAACAATTGCATGCATTTTATCCTCTACGAAAATCAATGATTATTATGCCATGAGCGTTCCTGAAGATTTCCAGATTCAATTTTGTTTACGGACTGTGTAATTAAATAGGTCTCTCTGAGATAGTGTTAAAAGGTGAACTCCACAACAAAGAGCGTTCGATCGTTCTCTCAATATTTTATATATATACCGTGATATCTTACTCATTAATTGAATCTATTTTCTACATGTTTTACTGCAATTACTAGTGGACACGCCTTTTTTGGAAAGTAAATATGTCATTCAGGTGTGGTCTAAATAATTAAAAATAATAAAAATGAATAATTGAATAAAACATTGAATGGCCAGCATCCAGTGTCAATGAGAATAGTTTTAATTGAAATTTGACCTTCCGTTTGACTTAAAACGGATATTAAGTGAGATTAAAATTATGTTACAGCTTTAAAAATCACTCATTTCTTTGCTATATTTTTGAAAGTTTATGTCACACTTGGAACATATTTATGAACTATCTTCGTTGACTGGATAAAAATTTGACAATTTAATCCCGGCATCATAATCACCGTTTGATGCCCGCTTATACTAAGAGTATATCTATAAATAATTTATATGCACACGAACGGAAAATTTAACAAAGTAAGTATCCTTTCGATTATACAAAAAGGTTAAAGGTCAATGTTATGTCGAGTCGGTGGTCATCATAATAATAATACAACTGGAAAACACACAACGTTACATTATAGATAAGTGATTGAATGATTTGAATAGAAACATAATACATATTAGTTTAATGGATATTTATATATCCAAAATAGCTCTTGTCTTAATTACATGATTTTAGTGATAATTCGTCACAGTGCTAGAACTTATGTCGCCACTTAAGTTGGAGAAGGGGGTAAGGTTTGTATACTATTGCCCGTGTCCATCCGTCCTGCTTGTCCGTCCGTACACTGACAAAACAACCAACAGATAAATGAATATTCAATGTCTTTTACAATATATAAAAGTGATTATGCCCTATTTCGACAACCTACAGAAAACGAGATTAAATTATTTCATCATCATCTAAACATACAACCAAATTGCTGCTATCTGGGGAACAGTCAATCAAAGAAATGCTTTTTCACTTGTCTCACATGTGTTACAACCAATCAAATAGCTGTTCTCTAGGACAACAGCCAATCAAATAAAGGATTCTTGACTCTTTTCTCATGGAGTTAGGACGAATCAAATATCTGTTCTCTTGGACATCAACCAATCAAATAAAGGGTTTTTCACTTGTCTGTCATGGCATAACAACCAATCAAAATTTTCATCTTTCATAACCAATTAAGGATTTCTCTTTTAGGAACATCTA